AGAGAGAGAATTTTTAATGTTTTATTGTTTAGTTCTCGGCGGACACAACATCTTTGTTGGTATGTGGTGCTGAGGATCGAACCCGGGCCGCACGCATGTCAGGCGAGCGCGCTACCGCTTGAGCCACATCCCCAGCCCTTTTAATTGAATTTGTTAAAGAATTATTATCTGGGTATAAGATTGGAGGTAGAGTGTTTACCTAACATTCGAGGCCTAGGGTTCAATCCCAGTACAGCAAAAAAGAAGAAAAATTATTAAACCATAAGTTCCAGCATTAAGAAGAATAGAGATTTTTGTGACAACGTTTATTTAAAAATTATTTTGTTGTTGAGCTGATGAATGAAGTCTTGTAGGTATCTGAATTCATCAGAGACTGGTAAAATGGTGATTATTTTTTAGCAAAAGGACTGTTCTCATGTGTAATTTTAGTTTTCCTTCCTGTTTCTTGACAAATATTTGAGAATTTCAGAGAATGAAGCTAGTTCTCATTCTTAGATGTTATGAAATGTTAAATCTTATCAGGTATTCCTGCAAATGAGTAGATTTCTTCTTTCTTTAGTTTCCTGCAGATACTTTCTTTTATCTTTGTATTCTTCTCCTAGCTCAACATTTCTCAGTGATTCTTAAATGGGGCTGAGGAGTTTAGTGCTGCCAGCATCTAGTGGTCAAGGTTGGGGATGCTGCTAAACATCCCACAAGATATTGGATGGCCTTCAACAACCAAGAAGTATCTGAACCCAAATGTCAGTAATGCTGAGGGTGTAATACCTTGGCCCAGCTAATTGACCCTCCCACATCTTAAAGTTTGATGCCCAGATAAATCTTGCCAATGATTGAGTGTGTTTTAACAACTTACCACTGTCTGCAAAATAAAGTCCAGATTTCATATCTTAGCATTGAGTCCCTCCTCCTAAACTCCAAGCATCAAATCTTAACAACCACTGATGTTTGAGTGTCTTTTTCTTCAGTCAAACTGAACCGTTTGTGTTGCACACACTTTCTCACTAACTGGGTGACTTTGGGCAATTTACTTAAACTTTCTGAGCCTTGGTTCCCCATCTGTAAAATGATGGTAAACAATATAATTCTCAGCTCCACATACATACATACATACATACATACATACATACATACATACATACATACATAAATAAATAAATGTATTGTGTTCATCTATAACTAAGAAATATTTTTTTAAAAAAAGAAGAAAGAATCAAGCTCTTGTTATAATATGCTGCTAAACATAGGTCCTACTAAAATGTATGATTTTATTCATTATACTTAATAAATGTATTTTTATTTGTAAATGTGTTTATTCCTGCCTACAGTCAGTCCCCATGTGTTATTATCTTTTAATTCTTCCATGATACCTTTACATTAAAATTGAATGGGGCTGGGGACATAGCAGGGTACTTGCCTAGCATGTGCAAGGCCCTGGGCTCAATCCCCAGTACCATTTAAAAAAAAAAAATTTTTTTTTCTTTTTAAAGGGCCAAGTACCATGCCTATAGTATCAGCTACTTGGGAGGGTGAGACACCAGGATCACAAGTTAAGACCGTGTCTCAAAATAAAAAGGGCTGGGGGCTGGGGTTGTAGCACAGTGGTAGAGTGCTTACCTAGCATGTGTGAGGCTCTAGGTTGAATCCTCAGTACTACATAAATATAAAGTAAAAGGTATGTGTCCATCTTCAACTAAAAAAAAAGTTTTTTTAAATAAAATAAAAACAAAAATGGCTAGGATTGGGCAGCTCAGTGGTAGAACAACCCTGGCGATCCCCTGTAATACCACCAATCCCCCCAAAAAAATTGAACAAAATTTCATATTTTCTGGCCTTTAACTTAAAGTGGTAGGAATTGATTTGGCTGCATGGCTTAATGTTCACATACTATCCTACTGAGATGGGATTTTTCTTATTTAACTGAAATTTCAAAAAAATACATTTATTGTTTTGTGTTGAGAACTGCCCTTAATACTTAAGCTTAATGTTTTAATATTAACCTATTTTTTGTCCCAAAGTCCCAGATGTGAAACACCTATAAGAATTTAAATATAAGGGCTGTGGTGTAGTTTGATGGTAGAGAGCTTGCCTAGCATACACAAGGCCCTGGGTTCAATCTCCAGTACTGGGGAAAATAAAACTTAGATAGAGCCAGGCATGGTAGTACATACCTATAATTTCTCAGCTACTTGAGAGGCCAAGGCAGGAAGATTACAAGTTAGAGGCCAGCCTGGGCAATTTAGCCAAATCCTACCTCAAATCAAAAGAGCTGGACAGGCTGGAGTTGTTGCTCAGTGGTAGAGTGCTTGTCTAGGACATGTGAGGCACTGGATTTAATCCTCAGCACCACATAAAAATAAATAAATAAAAAGTATTGTGTCCGTCTACAACTAAAAAAATTAAAAAAAAAAAAAAAAAAAAAGGCTACGGGTGTAGCTCGGTGGTAAAGTGCCCCTACTTCAATTCCCAGGACTACCCAAGGTGGGGTGGAACTACTTAAATAAGTGCATAGTTATATTTCGATAAAAATATGATTGTAATATGATATTAAGTAATAATATAATCTCTAGATTATGAGTTCTGACCTATTTTAATGAACCTCTGTCAATTTCATTAAACTGGTTGTAAAATTGAAATCTTGGGACTTAATAGGTTAAAAAAAACAATACTACTTATCTCAGGTGTAAAATTAAATACTTATTGAATTGGATATAGTTTGATTACTATTTTGGAAATAACCAGAACATAACCAGATTTTTGTTTTTCTGTTTTGATTATAAAATCCAGTCATTGAAAATTGGGTCAGTGAAGCAACAACATGGTATTGAACAACAGTAATACTTTTGAAATTCACATTTAAGATTCAATTTAATGTAGATTAATATAGTCTACACATTCTGTTTTATTGTCTTGCACCATCCCAAATTTTGTTATTTTGTATGATGTCTAATTTAGGTAACCTTTTGATCCATCACCCTTTACAATAATATAAGATTTTTACTATTTTAAACTTCTTATTCCAATTGTATAAATTTCAGCAAATTATTTTAATTGTACATACTTTTGTGCTTGTTTTTGCTTAAAATTTTTGAAACAGTTATATAATTTTTACCCCTTTGTTTTTTCAGATTTATGGACAAGAAGTTATCATGTAAGTTTGTTGCTTTGTCTTGGTTTTTTTTAATAATTCAGTTGCTTTTTACATGTATCTTTAGTGTCCAGTGTTTGGAGCCACTTGATAAAAATTTAAGCACACAGAACTTCTAATTCACATCCATTCATTAAGTAGGTTTATCAAAATGCTAACCAGACAACTTTATTTACCTAATTTCTAATAGCACTTAAGATTTTGGATAATTTAATATAAACCCTTCCACACTTTGATAAAATTAACAGAAATTTTCTATGCTATAATATTTGAAAATTCAACTCATCAACCTTTTTTTTGTTTTAAAACAAGCTACAGGGCTGGGGTTGTGGCTCAGCGGTAGAGCACTGGCCTAGCTCTTATGGGGCCCTGGGTTTGATCCTTAGCACCACAAATAAATAAACAAAATAAAGGTATTCTGTCCACCTAACTAAAAAAAATGTTTTTAAAAACAAGCCACAAAGGATTTAGACAAGGAACGCTTACTCTGTTTCTTGGTAATATATAGGAAAAACAGATTTGTTAAACCTAAATAAAGGGGATGGGGTTGTGGCTCAGGGGTAGAGCACTGCCTAGCAGTGTGAGACACTGGGTTTGATCCTCAGCACCACATAAAGAAATAAAAGTATTTAAAAATAAAATAAAAATCTGACCC